TGTGTGGTCTATATGATTTTATTTTGTGTCTTCTTTATATATAAGTGTGTTTTTCACTTACTAGAGACTGCATTTTGAGGTCCATGATGAAAATTTCTGACATATGGTATGTAATGATAAAGTCTCAATTTTTAGACTCAACTTTTCTCCAAAACTCAGAAAACCAAAACAGTTACCTTAGACTTCACACATAGAAGATAAAGGTGTCAGAAAGCCTGTTTCCTGGAGCTACAGAGGACAACTGGGGACTTGGCTAGTAAGAAGAGAGGAAGTCTTTCCAGTGACTCTGGCCAAAAGTGCTTGGGGGTCTTTCTAATGAGAAGAAAACAACTTCCCCTTGCCTACCTCCTCCTATAGACAACCGAGCAAAGCAAAAAAAGATAAATCTTTTCCCTTTTTACAACAACACATTGTCTTTTTATGTTAATTCTTTTGTTCATGTAAAAATATGGGAAAGTTAAAAAAATTAGTAAAATATGTTTCAGTTGGTTTTTATTTTGATTACACTTGAACAAAAAATTTCCAATTATATGAACATAAAAACTAATGTCCTGACACTGCAACTTCTTAGCAATGAATATATAGAAAGAGATTTTCTTGCATTCAAAATTACTAGGTTAGAGGCTCTTATTTAATTTTGAGCAAAAGCTCAATTTATTCTAAGGGGCGCAAATAGAGTACCTGCTGACTCTTCTCCATGTTTGTGTCCAGTAGAAAGTAAGCAGTGGCTCTTTGGTAAATTCTCCTTCAAATTCTTTGTAGATCAGTGAAGATCAAAATAAAGCTAATTTAGAAAAGCCTTGTTTGGCATTGAGTTATGCTGCAGGAAAGGGTAAAAATGACTTATAAAAAAGGAAGAAAGAAAATGAATTTTTTTCTCTAACTGAAAAATGATGAATATAGACGCTGTATAATCTGTTAAGAACATGAGTAATAGAATCAGAAAAGAACAGAATTCCAGATAACAGTTGAACAACTCCAAGCTGGGAGAACTTGGGCCTATGTTTCAGCATTCATAAAGTAGGGATAGTGGTGGTGCATTCTGAATTATCCTTCTGGACAGAAAGCAGACCATTAGTGAGATTATCACTCCCACCCAGATAATAACAAGCTAGATATATTATAACACCATCGTTTTTAAAGAAAGCATTCAAGGGGTGAAGAGGCAAAAAAACCTGAATGAACTAAATTTCAGAAAGTGATGAGCCTTTCTCAGCAGAGGAGAGACCTAAGTGGCCTTCATCCCAGGTAGCATGGTCAAAAAGAACCACCAGACACAGTGAGACTTCTAACAGCATTTAATAGCTTCATACATGCTACCTGGTCAGGTTAACGTTTCAAGGATCACCGGTCACGGAGCAAGCCTTTACCTGCCTGCCAAACTTTCCCCGCAGGCTTCATCCAGCATAGGAGAGAGATGTCCAAGGCTGTGAGGAGGGCATGCGAGCAAAAGAGAGCCCCTCCTCTCCATGCAGGGAGACTCCACTAGCAAAAACTTACATAATACTTTGATAATACAAAGAAATAAAATCAGCTTCATAGCCCTCCTGAGCATAGAAGTAAAATCTTTAAGAAAATTAACAAACTGGAGGCCCCTGGGTGGCTCAGTCGGTTAAGTGCCCTGCTTCGGCTCAGGTCATGATCTCATGGTTCGTGGGTTCGAGCACCAAATCAGGCTCTGTGCTGAATGCTTGCTCAGAGCCTGGAGCCTGCTCCGGATTATGTGTCTCCTTCTCTCTCTACCCCTCCCCCGCTCACGCTGTCTCACTTTGTCTCTCAAAGATAAATAATGTAAAAAAAAGTAAAGAAAATCAACAAATCCAACAATATGTAAAAATGAACTCCAAATGGGGTTTATCTCAGGAATGCAAAAGTTACTTTAACATGTGAAAATAGCCAGTGTATGTCATTTTTGTTAATGTATGCCATGATGTTAATGTGACATATATGTAAATAACAGTAACAGGTTATGATGTTAACAGACTAAAGGATATAAATCATATTAATATCTCAAGATATGCATTAGAAACTAGTTCTAGTATCTACTCAAGATTTTTAAAAATCTCTCAGACCAATAAGAATAGAAGGAAACTTCTTCAGTCATCTATGAAAAACTTACAGGTAACATTATACTTAGCAGTCATAATAGATATTCTTAGCAGTCAGTATATAATATATATTACCAACATACAAAATAATTGTGTTTCAATTTGTTGGTAACAAACAATTGGAAAATGAAATATAACAATACATATAATTTATATTACAATTTCAAAAAAAACTAGGAAACAATGCTGAGAGGTTGAATAAGACATAAATAGACATATTTATGCTCATCATGTATTAGAGAACACCACTGTTAAGATGTCCATTCTTTTCCAAAGTTGTCTATAGATTCAACACAATCAAAATGTCAGCATGCTGTTTGCAGAAAGAGACAAGCTGATTATAAATTTTATATGGAAATTCAAAGGATTTAGAATCACAAAAACAAGAATAGAGTCAGAGAACTTACATTGCCAGTTATTGTCGAGAGTTATTCTAATACTATAGTAATCAACATGGTCTAGGCTTGTCAAGATGTGAACAAATATAAATCAATGAAATAGAACAGAAAGTCCATAAAGAGATCCACACGTATAACATCAGTCATTATTTGAGAAAGGCAGCAAACAATTCCATAACAAAGTAATGTATTTTTAACAAATAGAGTTGAAATAAATCGATATCCTAATATGAAAAAATAAAACAACCCTACCTTATTCAATATACAAAAAGCAATTCAACTTAGACCATGCACCTAATCATAAAAAGAACCAAAAAGCTTCTAGAAAGTACATGGGAGAATATCTTCATAGGCAAAGAATATTTTAAACAACAATAACCACACACACGCACAAAAAGACAAGTTGGACTTCTAGCAAAATTTTAAATTTCTGTTCATCAAAAATTACTGTAAGGAAAATGGACAAGCAAATAAAAAGAATGAAATCTTGCCATTTGTGACAACATACATAAACACAGAGGATATTATATCAAGTGAAATAAGCCAGAGAAAGACAAATACCATAGGTTTTACTTACATCTGAAATGTAAAAAAACAAAACAAATTAACAAGGAAAACAAAACAGTAACAGAATCATAAATACAGAAAACAAACTGGTGGTTACCAGGGTGGTGAGAGGGATGGGTGAAATAGGTAAAGAGGATTAAGAAGTACAAACTTCCAGTTATAACATAAATATATCACAAGGGCATAAAATACAGCATTGGAAATATAGTCAATAATGTAATTACTTTGAGGTAACCTATGGTAACTAGATTTATTGTGGTAATCATTTTGTAATGTACATAAATGTCAAATCACTATGTTGTATACCTGAAACTAACATAATATTGCATGACAGCTATACTTCAATTTAAAAAAATAGTAAAAAAATTGGGGTGCCTTGGTGGCTAAGTTGCTTAAGCGTCTGACTCTTGGTTTCAGCCCAGGTAATGATCTCACAGTTCATGGGCTCGAGCCCCATGTTAGGCTGTGTGCTGAAAGCATGGAGGCCACTGGGACTCTCTCTCTCCCTCTTTCTCTGACCCTCCCTGCTTGCATACTCTCACTCTCTCCGGCGGAACAAAGAAACATTAAACAATAACAACAACAGCACTTAAAAAAAAAAGGAGAAGAAAATGAACAGGCAAACCATAGTTTAGAGAAAAAAATACTTACAAGACATATCTGACAAAAGATACAAATATAGAGCACATAAAGACCTGTTTTGAATCAGTAATGAAAAACAAAAAACTAGGCAAAATCCTTAAGCTCTTACTTATAAGACAAGGTAAACAAATGGCAATTAGACCCTGAAATGGTGCTTAACATCATTAGTCATCAGGGAATGAACAGTAAAACCTAAGGGAGGTACCATTCCACATCCTCTAGAATGGCTAAAATAAAATCACAACATCAAATTTGGTGAGAATATGAAGCGATCAGAACTCTCACATGTTGCTATTGGTGGAAATGGAAAATGAAAAAAAATTTCTTCTTCTTATAAAGTTAAACATGAGCAGAAGTCTCAATCCTAGATATTTACTGAAGAGATTTGAAAACGTATATCTAAAGAAATCCTTGTTTGAGGATGTGCAAAGGACATTCATTCATAATAGCCAAAAGTGAAAAGAATCCAGATATTCATCAATATGAGACAGGAAAATAAAGTATGGTCTATTAATATGGTGGAATATAACTAATCAATTAAAAAAACAGTACAACATGGAAAAATGTCAAAAAGATAGTATGTTGAGTGAAAGAAGCTCTACACAAAAGAGCAGAGAAGATGTGTTGATAATTATATGAAGTTCAAGAACATCGAAAGTACAGCAGTGCTCTCTTATTTGCGGTTTCACTTTCCACAGTTTTAATTACCCAGTCAGCCATGGTCTGAAGCAGGTGATCCTCCTGATACACAGTGAGACGGTCCGTAGTAGCCTGATGCTGGGTCACAGCACCTACATCACTCATCTCACTTTGTCATCACTACGTAGGCATTTTTATCATCTCATCGCAAGAAGAAGGATAAACACAGATCAGCAAGATACTTTGAGAGAGACCACATTCAGATAACTTTTATTAGAGTATCTCTCTATCATTGTTCCATTGTATTTTTCACTATTGTTAATCTCTTAGTGTGACTTAAAAATTAACTTTATCATAGGTATGTACGCACAGGAAAAACATAGTGTATAGAGGATTCCATCCAATTTGTGGTTTCAGGCAACCACTGAGGCGCCCTGGAACATGGTCCCTATTGATACGAAGGATGACTGCAACAGAAATTAGAAATAGTTCCTTGGGGCGTCTGGGTGGCTCAGTCAGCGGAGCATCCAACTCTTCGCCTCAGGTCAGCTCATGATCCCAGTTTTGGGGCTAGAGACCCATATTGTCCGCCACACTGAGCATGGAGCCTGCTTGGGTTTCTCTCGCTCTCTCTCTCTCTCTCTCCCTCCCTCCCTCTTTGTCTCTCCCTCAAATAAAATAAATAGAATAAAAAATAGTTCTCCTGGGATTCTGAGAGGTGCAAACCGACAGCTAAGGGACACATGGCAACTCTCTGGAATAATGGAAACATTCTACATGTCTTTTGAGATGATGATTACATGATTATAGGCAATTGTCAAAACACATTGAATAGCAACAAATCCATAAGGTAATTATATATAAATATCTGTACTTAAAAAGTATTATATGTACGATATATAAAGAAAAATAATACATATTTCATTGGTCTTTATATAAAGTTCTTAACAGAGCTCTAGACACATGATAAGTCAGAGCGTAGCACAGGGGCTGACAAAATAACCAAAATATTTTATTATGATGTTATCTTAAAAATAGTGCCTCATTCAAGGAACTGAGCTTCTATATGTAATTTTTTAAAAAAATCTAAATGGAGGGACAGAATCCTAGCTGCAATCCTTCCCAACACTACCATCCACATTCTCTTAAAACAGAGATCATTACCCCTGTCTTGTGCATAACATCTTGGGAAGTAGAAACGAAAATTCAAAGTTAAGTGTGTTATGAACACTTCAAAGGCCTAGAGAAACGCTTGGAATCATTCAGACTAACACACACAACCTGGCATCGATGAAGCACCTGTGACTTTGTTTCCTTCCATGCTGCACCAGTTGTGAAAGTTCTGAAGAAGCAGAAGTTAAAGCATCTTCTTTCAAAGATACAACTGAGCTTGGGATCCAACCAAACATGCTTTATCTGGGAATAGATGTCTTCAACTTGTTTCTCGAATCAGTAAGGCAAGCTGCTGAGAGAAATATAAGCTCACTTGGCCTCGTGACTGTACAGCGAAGTTCAGTCTCAACCGGAGAGAGAACCTGGAGGAGCAAACAGATGAATCAGGATTTCTGATTGTTCAAGGCGAAGACCCTCCACTGAGGATGCTTAAAGAAATTACATTTTTTTGGTGTGAACTTGCCCCTTTCCAGTGTTATTACATTCCTTATCCTTGGTGAGTATTAGAGCCCCAACATGTTCAGTTTTTATGGTTTGGGTCATTTGTTCAGCTTCTTTGGTTGGGTCATTAATATATAATACAGATTAACCCCCCTTGCTTTATTTTTCTTTAATCAATCAAGAAAAAGTAATACCTTTGTGTATTTTCAACTGCCATTGATTTAATACAATTCTTAAATATATAAAGATCCTTAGGAAGAATAATGCTGATAAGCTGTATTATAGACATCATCACAAGCTCTGTTCTCTAACAGAGCTTTCCACAAAGAATGTCCTGGAAAAAAAACCAGTTCTGTATAAAGTTTTGTGGGAATACAAGTTAGGGACATGTTGCACTCCTCAACCTCTCTATTCATAAGGAAGACATGCATAAATACGACATGTTGGTACAGGTCCTTTAACAAAGGACTTTGGGGTGCCTAGGTGGCTCAGTCAGTTAAGCATCTAATTCTTGGTTTTGGCTCAGGTCACGATCTCACAGTTTATGATTCAGAGCCCACTTCGAACTCCACACTAAGGTATGGAGCTTGCTTAGGATTCTCTCTCTCTCTCTTTCTCTCTCTCTGCCCCTCCTCTGCTCACACACACACTGTGTCTCAAAATAAACAAATGGACATTTTTTAAAAAAAGGACTTCAGATCATTTGAACATGGAAATTTCTTAAATAAAACATTCGTTAAATATGGAGAAAATACTGAATTATTTCACGTGGACCTGGATCTGTGATACTTTGTGCAACTCTGTGAATAATGATCCTGAAGCTTTCATGTAAAGAGAAAACTTGGAAGTTGAGTTCAAAGTTCCATCACAAATTTCACTATTCATTTTGTAGAAACAACTAATTCATCATTTGATGCTAACTTTCCTGGAGTTTATTTCCCGGGGCAGAAAATAAAAAAAGATAGAGCAAGAATAGAAACAGAGGCAAACACTTGACAGCTCTCATTTGGGACTTAGAAGTATTTGGGCTTCGATGAGTTACATCGTCAACAATGAAGTGAAGGTTATGTTTGGAGACCAAAAGTAGCTTCCTGCATCTGAACACTCATTAGCCTTGGAGGAAGAAAATGTGGGTTTTCTCTAAGCTTTGTATGACTTTGAGCAATAAGGTTTACCTTTTTTTTTTTTTTAATTTAGATTCCCATCTGCAAAATACAGATGATAGACTCTGCCCTAGCAATTTAGGTCTGCAGTAGGGATAATATCCAACATAAAGGGTGCATTTAAATTTGTTTAGAAAAATCCAGAACACTGTCAAACGTGAAGAATGATTAAGGTATAAATTTCAAAGGCAGAGAGGTTGGACATATTGTCAAGAAAGAAGGTCAGAGACCAGGAGTGACTGGCAATTTTCCCAGGAAGTATATAATTGTTGTTCCTTTTCTATCATGGGCTTTCTCTTAACCCTTTGGGAGTGTGGCAGAGATGTTTGGCTTAGAGGCTGACAAAATGGCCAACAGCTGAAAAATGCACTCTTTCACTTCTTTTCAGGATTAAAACAATCAAAGAAGCATCCCTGACCTTCTGGGATTGCTAAAAAATTCAGCAGAGAGAAGGATAAGTGAATCACAAAGATTTTCAAAGAATGTGAATTTTTAAGCGAATTAAAGGAATTTATTAGTAAACCTTACCATTCACGTGTGTGAACTTAGAGGCACTTTGCTATTTCCAACAAATACATGTTATATTGCTGCACATATGTAACTTGGATATCATCTCTCTGACTATCTCAAACCTTTTATCATAATGAGGAGAAAATTCTTAGTGACATTTGAATTCAAAAGCCTCATAAGTTCATTGTAACCACACTGAGGTCTAGAGAGCTTACATTTTTCCTCATCCTTTCTTACTCAAATTCCGGTCTTTATCTAGATCATTCATCTCTCTTCTAGGCCTTGATCTTTAACCCCCAAATACTACTTCCATGGAATGTGAGCCTCAATTGAAAGGTTTGTGCAGTAAAAGAATTAAATTGAGTTACTTCATGGCAGATAAGTTTAAATGTTATATGTAGACATTCTGGCTTCAGACATTTCCCTGAAAATGTTCACCTCCTTAGAAAATTTCCATGGGTTCTTTCTCTTCTCTGGACCACTATGAACCCTGGCTCTTTTCTTCTGCCCCAACGGTCCCCCAGTTATGAAGTAAATAATTTACACTTTAGCATTAATGAAAATAACATTTTACTATGATTTAAGATGAAGATTACAGGCAAGAAGAAAGTGCAGTTTAAATATTAACTTGATTCTTCTCTCTCAAAAGAAGGTAATGGAGAGATGAGAGCCTGAAGGAACGTATGATTGTCTTTACCTTCCAAAGCTTATGATTGAGCTAAGAGTGTAAAACCACTAAGGGTAAAATCCTGTAGGAAATGGCCTTTTGTTAGTTGAAAAACTCTTTTTATTTGGTGAGGAGGGAAGTAAAATTAAGTCTTGATATGATTTTATATAGAGAGGGAAGGACTGGACTTCTTTGTGTAATAAGGTAGAAAAGGTGTCCTATTTTGTCAAGCTGAGTGCTGGGTAAACTTGTATTCACTTTATTATTCATAAATATATCTGTATGCACATTATATTTTGATTTCTAGAACAATCCATTAAAAAAACTGAGCCATTTTTTTCCCAAACATAAATATATATAATATTTAAATTATTTTAAAATGTTATGTTAATATCTATTTAAATAAATATAAGTATACATATATTTATATTTTTTGTTGACTCGAAACAGCAGAAAAGCTTCACATCTTAGTGGACGCTGGCCTGCATTGAGGAGTAAAGAGGACTTGAGTTCTAGTACAGACTCTTAAGATATTGTGACCTTGAGAAAGGCATATCTCTGAAATTTACCTGTGAAGCAGGGATTATATTTGCAAAGTGAGAGGTTCACCAAATCCACATTCTTATTTTATAGCTAAAGGAATTGAAGGCCAGATTGATTAAATACCTTGATCGAGGACACAGATGTTCTGATCACAAAGCCTCAGGTGGAGTCCGGGGCCCAAGCTTCCAATGGTCTAGCCACCGAATAGACTTAAGAGAAGCACCTGCTTGGTCTACCTACCAGAGCTTTGTGGAGTCCAATGCGAATGAAATGTAAAAACACCTCAAGGATGATGGCTCCGTGGTTCTGAGGGCAGAGTTGTTACATCTTGCCTAAGTGAAGAGTTGTAACTATTGGCCTAAGATGGGCTTGCTTCCTCGATGTACTTGTTTCTTTTTTCTGACATTTCCCCCCTTCTATTTTTGTAATTAAATCAATATTAACACTGGTTTGTTTCAGAGCTGAAGCAAGTTAGTCACATTTCTCTGGTCAACACTGCCATCTGGTGGACACCTAAAAAAAATCTCTGCATTTGCTTCTAATTGAACGTTCTGGGACCTTGGAGGTCTTCAAGTATCAGGCAGCCAAGTGCAAGTTGCAATTTTAAACAATAGTAGAAAGATTCGGTCCTTACCGAGGTGTGGGAGTTCAAGAAACTTTATAAAAAGGATTATAAATTAAGCTTTAGTAATATCAAGAGAGCTCTCAAGAAGCTAGAAATCACCCAAGGAAGTAATTTTTTAATAGACGGCACTGATCTCCCTGATAGCTCACATACCCCCTAAGATGGTACTTCTGATTTGTATCATAAATAAATTAAAAGCATATTTTATCCTTTTCTTCCCCTTTACTCTTGTCACTACTGAAGCAAATAGCCAAAGGAGGGGCAACTTTGAGAAAATAAAAACAGAACAAAACAGCAGCAGCAACAATAACCAAAAGAAATCCCTGTTAATGTATAGTTTTGAGGTTCAAAAAGCCCAAATGCTGTGGCAGTAAAGAGGATTCAGACACAAATGTGAAAGAATGATCCAGACCCAGGCAGGGAAAGCCCGAGTGGGCAGTCAGGGATAGGGCTGTCGGGAAACTCGGAAAGGGTAGAGCAGCTAAGGGCGATGAGTTCATCAGGTTCACAGGCTCCTTGTGTCATAGCTTCCAGAAACACAGGCTCAGTCAGGGAGCAACCTCCTCATGTCTCAGCAGACGACGCGGCAGAGAGTTTTGTGCAGATTCTCTCGCACTCGAAAGTAAGGAAGTAGATTTTTCCTGTACCAACAGAAGCACACCAGACCACGCTCTTGAAAGGTCTGGAAAAGCAGAGCCATGAGGACAATGACCGTGGCTGTCCCAGTCATGGACTGATGACATCAAAGATGAGGTCATCCCTCCTTTCCACCTCCCTACCACAATGGTACTAAATAAACTGTGGTGGTGACTTTTATGTGTCAGCTTGGCTGGGTCACAGTACCAGGATATTTGCTTAAACATTATTCTAGACATTTCCCTGAAGGTGTGTTTTAGATGAAATTAACATTTAAGTCAGGAAACTTTGGGCAAAGCAGATTATCTTCCATAATGTGGGTGGGCCTCCTTCAAATCAATTGAAGGCCTTAAAAGAAAAAGACTAAAGTTCTCAGAAGAAAGGGAATTCTGCCAACAGACTTTTTTCAAGATGCAAACTATACTGTGTCTTGGGTCTCCATCCTGCCAGCCTACTCTGCAGATTTTGAACTTGCACTTCCATAATCATATAAGCCAATTTCCAAAAATAAACATCTATGTATAGAGATAGATAGATACATACATATATATATGTACACACACACACACACACACACTCACACACACACATCCTATTGTCCTATTAGTTATGGATTTTTCTTTTGTTTTGTTTTGTTTTGTTTTGTTTTGTTTGAGAGAGAGAGATTGTGAGTGAGGGACGGGGCAAAAGGAGAGAGAGAGAGATAGCATCTCAGGCAGGCTCCATGCACACCACCGAGCTCAAATTGGTGCTCGATCCCTCAATCCTGGGATCATG